GACTCTGGTCCAAAGACTATAACTTCTGTTTTGTCTGCATTCAGGAGCAGAAAGTTAAGAGTCATCCAGATTTTTATGTCTTCAAGACATGCCTGTAATCTATGTAATGGGTTAGCTTCATCTGGATTTATAGACAGATAAAGCTGGGTATCATCAGCGTAACAGTGGAAATTAATCCCATGCTGTCTAATAATTCTACCAATTGGGTGCATGTATAAAGTAAAGAGAATTGGTCCTAGCACTGATCCCTGTGGTACTCCACAGGTAACCTTTGAGCGTGTTGAAGATCTATCATTAACATGAACAAACTGAATTCGATCAGATAGATAAGATTTAAACCAGTCTAGTGCTGTTCCTTTAATTCCAACAAAATATTCAAGTCTTTCTAAAAGAATATTATGGTCAACTTTATCAAATGCAGCACTAAGATCCAACAGGACGAGCACAGATACAAGTCCATTATCTGAGGCCATGAGAATATCGTTAGTGACTTTCACCAGAGCTGTTTCAGTGCTATGATGAGCTCTAAAGCCAGACTGAAACTCTTCAAAAAGTTCATTATGGTGGAAGTGATCGCAAACTTGTTTGGCAACTACTTTCTCAAGAATTTGGGATAAGAAAGCAAGATTGGATATAGGTCTATAATTGACCAAGTCATCTGGGTCAAGAGACGGTTTCTTAAGCAGAGGTTTAATTACAGCAACCTTAAAAGCTTTAGGTACATATCCCTGTAACAGAGATAGATTAATCACATCTAAAATGGAGGAGGAGATCAAAGGGAATACCTCCTTAAATAACCTGGTTGGAACTGGATCTAACATACAAGTTGAAGGCTTAGATGAAGACAATAATTTTGCTAATTCAGAGAGTTCAACTGGATCAAAGCAGTCTAAACCCGGTTCAGATTCCATGACTACCTCAGGTACAATCGCGGATAGAGGAGTGCTTATGATCTTATTTTTAATAAGATCAATCTTATTTATAAAGAATCCCATAAAATCATTGCTGCTAAGAGCAGGTGGAATGGACGGTTCAACAGAGCTATGGCTCTGGGTGAGTTTGGCAACTGTATTAAAAAGAAATCTAGGATTATTCTTATTCTCCTCTATTAATGAGGAGAAGTATGCTGCTCTTGCTTTACAAAGAGTCCTCTTATACAGCGGTAAGGCATGCAACTACACAAGACTACATGATATCAATATAATAGCCTTTCAAAAGGTAAGGTAGAAAAAAATTAACCTGACTCCGCCAGATGGATTTGCCCCGCATATCCATCTGGAAACCTTCCGTTGCAGTAATTTTGGGAAGGGGCGAAAATACTGGTTAGCTGATTGGCCTATGTTGGTGATAGACGGGCCAAATAAACCAATCAGATCAACGAAGCATATGACGTACTAACAGAGCTACGACAAAAACACAACCACAAGCCAGGCTACTCTTGCCGAAACCAGTCGGGAGAAGAGCAAAAACATCTTTTCCTCTGAGAAAACCCTCCAGAGCAGTGTTTTGCTCTTCTTTCAGTGAAGAAATACTCTGTAATTCCGATAAAACTTGCTCGATAGCCACGCTAACGCTAGTTTCATCGGCTGAAGCCGCCATGTTCTTTAGACTGAACTGTCGCGCTTCTCGTTGCGTCACACCTCAACCCGCCTCAAAGCCGACGCTGATTGGACGTTCGTTTGGTGAACGGCTCCAAATTTTCTTTAACGGAGAGTCTCCAGACTGATCTGCGAGTGAAACCTTGAAAACTCGCGAGATCAGGATGGTCCCACAAGGCTAGAAAAAAATCAGGATAAGGAAGAAAAAGCTGTGCAGTTATTAATAAAAAAATGCTTATATGGGTAAAAATTAGAGAAAACCATCCACCCATCCATCCATCCATCCATTCATCCATCCAGCCAGCCTCTCAGTGGGTGCACTGCCTATCTCTGGCAGTCTACGGGTGCATACTGTGCAAATATACAGTAACATTGAAGAACATTCATGTTTGTAGACTTGTGGGAGGAAGCCAGAGTACTGAGAGAACCCATACATGCACATGAACTCCATGCAGAAAGACTCCAGGCCAGGAATTTAACCTTCTTGCTGCAAGGCAGCAGGGCTACAAACTGCACCACCTTGCAGCCCCAAAATTTTCAAGTTAAAAAGAAAAACAACAGCTGGTTTGCAGAATGACTGGTGAACCGTTCAATATGCTCAAATCTAGAAAGGAAATGATTGCAGAAGCAAACACCTCCAGAGCAGAAAAAAAACTGCACATTATCTGCTGTAGTTTCTATCTGTCATTTTGAACATCTGTTTTCCACATGTATAGGGGTTAGAAAGAGTGAAAATGTTGCTAATCAGACCAAGAACCTGTGAAAGATGTTGCCACACTTATCGGGCTTGTTGGGAGCAGCAAGGTTTAAAAAGGGGAGTCAGGCAGAGTCATCTGGAAACTTCTGAAGATGGTAGTCTGAGGAGTTACAGAAGAAATCTGCAGCCTGGAGGGTAAACAAGAACGGGGCCAACATGGTTCCCAGCATGGTGTTGAAAGCAGTAGGAAATCAATCAGAGGGATTCTTCCAGTGCATCCAAACTTCTCTAGTTAGGTCAGAGCTTGGTGCTGCTGATAAATGATGGCACACCTACCCTGATTCCAGCCTGGGAGGCAAACTGCAGTGGATCCAATGAAAAGTCCTCACCAGGGGAGACCAACTTCTTTAGGGTCTTCAGATGTGGTTACTGCTTCCATCAAGGTGTAAGACTGGTCTTCCACAGATGTTACCTCACACATTCACTGCAAAAACCAATCTAAAAATAAATGAGTTTATTTTTGCGTATTTGAGCTGATAAACAACATGATCCGCCAATTGAATTAGTGCTTAAGTCTTTAAAATAAGATAATTGGTTATTATGTACTTCAAATACGATAATGATCTTTTTTTCTTATTTTAAATATTAATTGTCTTATTCCAATGGAAAACTGTATCACTTACTTGCTGAAATAAAAGGAAAACACACTTATTTCAAGAAAAGTTGCTTACTCATATCTACATTTTTTGCAGTATTGTATTCTTACAATCTAATTTTAACCCAACATGTGTCGATATAACAATGGAAACAGTACTTTGCTGCAGTCACAGAAAAACATTGTCCACTTCATGACGGATGTTTCGAGTGAATTAAAACCATTAAAGGTATAAGTGGAGAAATTTTGCAAATTTTTGGAAAGACCCGCCCTCTCCACTTTTAAAAAAGCAATACACTGCAAAAACGATCTAGAAATAAGTAAAAATTTCTTAAATTAAGTGTATTTACCCTTAATTTGAGTAGGTAAATAATATGATTTGCCAATGAAATTAGTATCTTTACTCTTAAAATAAGATAATTAGATAATATGAACTTGAAATAAGACATTGCAATAGTTTTTTCTTATTTTAAATGTAAATTGTCTTGTTCCATTGGCAAAGTGTCTCACTTTTGTCCTCAATTCAAGAAAAAATTCACTTATTTTAAGAAAAAAATGATTTACTTAGATTTCATTTTTTTTGCAGTGTTCACATGCACAACCCTGCACCTGCTCACGAGAGGGAACGCCTCGTGCACGCTCTGTTTAAAAATTGCTGTTTGCATCGCTCATACAATTTTTCCACTATATCAGACTCGCCACCGTTAAGTGAAAATGGGAACGAGCACGTAGGACAGCCTTACGTCAACATATCACCAAAATGATTTACAATTAGGAGGGCCACTTATTTTGATGATCCACCCGGGAAAAGAGCATCTTCCGCTATACCTTTAAGTTCTTGAATAACACCAGCAAACTTAACCCTGCTGAAGAAGAACGACTTGTCGGCTCCTATCTGTCTTGTTCAGAATTGTTCATCTTAATTCCAGATGCTACTGACTTTCTGCTGCATCAAGCTCAGTTATATAAAGTATTATATTGTAATGACTTCTTCCCATATTATTTATAGGAAGACAGTTACCATATAAACTGTTTGAAGTACATTAAATATTTCAAATTAGTTATTACCTATCAGTCATTCACATCGCACAGAGTCTGCTTAAAGGTTGTTCCAAAAACAACTATTATTAAAACAACAAGAAATCAAAGCACTTATAGGAAACCTAAGTTGATCAGGCCAAATTAAATCTGTCATAAACATTTGTTCATCACAAATGGATGTGCATATGTTTAATAAAATGTTTTCTATCTCAAAAATATTATTCACTGAGCTCCATAAGTGTAATCAAAGCTGATTATGTTTGGGAAATCTGCTCCAAAAACATCCATTCATTTTTAGTAAAGAAACCAGTGTTTCAGTGTATTCAAGATATATATGAAGGAATATTTGTTCCTTATTTTATGTAATGCCTTTAAGTTTAAAGGCAGTTGAGTTAAAAACTGATGCTGTAAAAAGGAAAGTATTTCCAGCTGAGACATGAATGTATGTCAACATTGTAACATTAGGTGTGACAAAATAGATTTTACTTTTTAACAAGCTTGGAAACTATAAAATTGTAATGACAGATATTTTTCCATTTAAACAATATTGTGATAAAACGAATGCATGGAAACGGCGATGCAAGTTAGCCTGAGGGCAGCTCTTTGCTGACTGTGACGTCCGAGTCTGACATCGTTTAGTTAACAGCATCGCCTCCAGCATCTGTTGTTCACTTTGCCCTTGGACTTCCTTTTATATGTGGCCGTCTCAGCATTATGATTTTGCATGAATAGTGAATGAAGGGTTTGATGAGTTTATTCTGACCTTTTCTGATCTGAAGTGGGAAAATTAGTGTCATTTGCTGCAAAGTTGCATAAAAAACAGAAATCTGAAAACATTTCCACTAATCTAATAAAAAATTTAAATGATGTGACTGAATGCTTAGTGCTCCTTATTTCTTTTTCTTTAATCTAAGGATTTTCTTCTCTTTTTGTGGCGGTGGGGGTTTTATTTATCCAAAAAAGTTCTCAGACTCACACCTTTTTCTCTTATGTATGATTTTCTCTGCAGCCTAAAGGCTTTCGGCGATACTACAGCTCCCCATTGTTGAACCAGGAGCAGTATGGATGCATTAAAGAAGTCATGCCCATTGGTGAGCTTTAAACACCTAATATTTATTTCAGCTTTTCATTATTTCCTCCAAATTATTTTAGACATTTCATGCAGAACGTATCTATCTAGTATTCTTTTTTTTTTATATGGTTCTGTAAATAAAATAAAAAAAGACAAAAAAACTTGACTGAGAGGGAGGTTTAATATTTGTTTGCTCATAAGCTTATTTTATATCTTGTGATATTCTGCTTCAAAGCCTGTGGGAATAAAGTGGACCCGGTGTATGAAGCTCTGAGGTTTGGGACATCACTTGCACAAAAAGCCAAGAGGGCCAGCGACTCCGATTCTCCACACAGAAACTCAGTAAGAACCCAACGCTTAGCTTTATGTGATATCTCCAGCTTTACTTTTGTTTGGGCTTCATGTAAATTTTATCCCGCCTTAGCAGACACGATGCAGCTGATGGTTTAAAGAGATACGGACTTGCAGGGCTGCAAACACTACCAATAAAGGCAGTGTGGCCGAGGCAGGCTTGCTGGAAGATGTCACAGTGAACTGCGGTGTCACAGCTCTGAAGATGAATCATGTAGAATCTGCTTTCATACTCTATGATATCGTACTGTAAGGTGAACTGCATCTGGATGTGTGCCTCTGGATGATGACGTCTGAAAGCTGTTGGGTTTGGGCCGTCATCTGGTGTCCTGAGCAGCTGGTGGAGACGTGTGTGTATCTTTGGTTGTTTGTGAGGCTTTAGAGACAATGTGATCTCAGCAGGGGCTTGATAATAGCTTCCAAATGTAGACTATGAAACAGCTTGGTTACTCCCATCTGCAGTTCCAGATAGAAAACAGATTTGTTTGTTAAGGTTTGTTTGTTGAGAAATGCTCATTTGGAAAAGTATTCAAACCCCCTTGAGCTTTTTGGTGAATTTTTTAATCAAAACAACTTTAAGGTTTTTTTCACTGAAATTTTGTGTGACATAAAGTTAGCCATAATTGTCAAGTGGAAGTAAAGTGACACGTTTCTGCAAATTTATACAATAAAACTGTCAAACGCGTGGTGTGTATTTTCATTGATTCCTCTGAATAAAATCTAGTGCAGCTGACTGCGTTTAGAAGATCCCTAATCAGGGATGGTCTTGAATGTAGGGGTAGACAGTAACTTGTTAAATTAAGTAACTTTTGGACAAAAAAAAAATCTAGTTTTAGAATTAGTAATACTTTTCTAGTTTTACTTAAGTAATATCTTTATTAGAGATGTCCCGATACAATTTTGTTATAAATAATCAGATTTCAGCCAAAAAAATTAAAGACTGCATCAAAATCCCTCCAAAATCTCCATTCTAAAAAGCTAATAGAAACACTTCACCTGCATCCGGTTAGGTTTAAAGCTTACATAACTCTTTGGTAAATAAAAAACGAGTCAGTTCCTCTCATATCTGATGTAAAGTGTTGTTCTTTGTTTGAGAAATATCACTTTAAGCCATCTATCATTCTATACTATAAATTATAAAAGTATGTATAATTCTTGCTGATATCATGATGGTTCAACATCGGTATCGTGTATTACTCAAAGCTGCAATATTGGTAACATAGTGAGATAATTTTGTTGGGACTTCCACAATAAAATATCACTACTATTACTAAAGTAACATCTTTTTTTAAACAAAAGCGATCCAGATGAAGACACACAGCTAACGATAAAATTAGTGTTTTTGTACACAAGATTACTTTGTATCAGGTGAACCTATCATGACATTTGGAGGTCAAAATAATACAGCAGATATTGTCGCTAGATTTACTGGTTTCACGTGTTTTCTCTTTTAAAGAAAATTGGTTTGGGGAAGAGTTTTTGTTTCTGGATTTTTTTTCAAATATGTTATTTGTTTGTATAATGATTTTTATTATATACTTAAAAAAATGAGATTTGCACATAACTTTCAAATTTGCTGTATTTGTCCACATAATTTCAAATACTAAATTAGATATTATGATGAGCACTTGAATAGCCTTTTACAAAATACTTATTAACTTGTGTAATTTCTTGAATGACTTCTTTTTACTATTGATACAATAAAGTAATGTTAGTCTTAGTTTAATAAATCTGCTTGAATATTTGATAATTCTGGAGATTATTTACAAATTTGTGATTGAAGTTGTGAATTTTTATTGTTTTTTTTTCTGCTTGTCAAACAATGTTTATGATCTACCATGATGTACATGTGGTGGGGGAGAGCTTCCCTCTTTTCCTGTTATATTTTAGGTAACTAGCTGTTATTTTATCTGTAATATTTGATGGAAAATGTGAAGTTTAGTGTCCCTCTTATCCTACAAGTCCTAGAAGACAGGTAATTTAATAAGGGGGGGGGGGGGTTATTGTATTTGTAACAATGAGTGAGAGAAAAATGAAAATAAGGCAAAAGCTGAGGTGATTTGTTAGATATTTGGAAGAGTTGCAGTAGTTTATTATTATTTATTTTTTTACAGTGTCCTGTCTGGCAATGTGGCAATAAGAATAATTGTCTTGATGCCAAAAAAGAGCCCAACATATTTTACTTTCACAAGTGGAGCAGTATGGCAATTGCCATATTGCTACAGTTGTTTCATGCATATAAATTGCTTTATTATAATTATGCAGGGAGTTTTACACTTTATATGGACACTGCAATGTAAACAGAGCAGAAAAACAGAAGAAGGAAAAAAGGGAAAAACAGGATAAAAGATAAAAGAAAGAAGAGATAGAAAGGAGATAATGACAAAACATTTTCAGTCTGCTTCATCACCAGCAACGAGATGAAAAAAGAACAGCACAACCGAAAGACATGGTACGAGACATACAATAAAGCAACACCTTGAAACTATCGCTAAAGTAATATTATTAAGTCTGACATGTACTCTGTGTTACCTGAAGATATGAATGTGGTAGTGATGAGTTTAATGGCCTAGTCAAAGTCCAGACCTTCAATTAGAATCTGTGGCCGGACTTTAAAGGCTTGCCTCTAATATCTGAAATTTATGTGCAAGTAACTGTTTAAATATATAACAAAGAATTGTTATTGATCTTTTCCTAATAAACGTTTGCACTGATTTATTGTTTTAGACCAGTGATTTGGATAATGTTCCAGAGGAGGTTGTGGCTCACAGCAGTAGGCAAGAGCTGTCGAGAAAACACAGCGATGATGGTGAGTACCTCTTCCAGAAACCCGTCCATTTCACCATAACACGCATTTCTTCATCCATCAATTCTTAGAAAAGACTTCTTCCAGATTTCCACTATGCTGAGAGTTCAGATTTCTGCTGTGAGCCATTTTTTATTTCTTGTTTGTTTTCTTAGTATTTGCAGTCATTCAGAACGGAGCGGAGTGTTTATACCTGCCAGAGAGCAAAGCAGATGACTTGTCGGTGAGAAACTCTCCTCCAAATGTTTCTGCATTGCATTGAAAATGCATGACTTTCCTTTTGATCATTTAGCAAAGTCCTCAGCATGTTGAAGTCTCAACATTTCTCTTACATTTTTCCCAAGTTTTCACAGTGTTTTGCATTCTGTGACACTACTCTTCGTTTCTCTGAAAACCTCTTAGAAGCGTCTCCATTTATTGACCAGTGCTTGAACTCTGCATAGTTTGTTTGAGAATTTATACTCTACCATTAAACCCCCCCCCCCCACCACCACCACCACCAATGCCTTGGAAAAACTCAGTTTTCATCCTTCTTCAGCAAATGCTGACGTGACCCTGTGCGAGTACAGTCAAGCCTTGACCTTAAACTTTCGATCTGCTGCCTTTCTCTATGCTGCAGTTGTGCTGCCATGCTGCGCTGATGGTGCACATTTCAATCTGCAGAAAGAAAAAGGTTAAGCCTCTATGAACCACCTCCTGTAGCTCAGCAATGAATATTTCATGGTCTGCTTTCATTAGCGTTCCTTCGTCCTCTCTATACTCTCCTTCATGGTGAAAATTCTAGAAAGGACGGTTTTAGTTTCGCAAACCTGTATGATTCAAAAGACTAAAAACTATTTTTTTTTAAATAGGGCGACCCCCAAATTTTTGCCAGATTGAGTGCATGACAACACATTTACGTGTCACAAACTTTAATGTATTGTTAAATGGACAACTTTATGCAACCTTCTCTTGGGTATATTTATTGGGATTTGTTATCTTGACACTGAAGCCTTTCCATTGACTTTACAGAATATATTGACTATATTTAGGTCTGGGCTTTGACTAGGCCATAGTGTTAAAGTGAAAAACTTTGATTTAAACCATTTTGTATGTATGTTTTTGTTATGGTTCTCCACTTTTGGGACTCAGAGTTTTTAGTTTTCAGTTATTCTGTGTTGTTAATCTTTGGTTTATTTTCCATTATATTCAAGCTGTCCCTTCTCATCTCTTCCATCCACACCTGCTCCATATCAGTTGATTACTCCAGTCTTTGTTCTGTCTCCCATATATACTCTCCATGTGCGGTTCTTCAGGGCTGGTTTCTTGTTGTTTGTTGCTTCCTCGCCTCTGGCTCCCTACGTGAGTTTTCTCTGATGTTTGCTGGTTTTTGGTTCTCAGTATTTTTGTGTGTTTGGATGTTTGCCTCGGTTCTTCTTCATTAAATCTACACAATTTTTTCTCTGCTTCACTCATCTCTGCATTTGGGTCCTCAAGCAACCTCACCTCCCACATTGACAATTTAGGCCATGTCTTACTGAAAGGTTTTTTTAGCCTCTGACAGGCTGTCTTTTACCAGTTTGAAGTTCCATAACTGTTTTGTCCTTAAAGAACCTGGAGGCAGAATTAAAAAATGACACTGACGAGAGACACACCTGGTGCTAAGGATGACTGCAGCCACCATCCAAGCTGAAAGGCTGCTGAAACCCTTCACATAAAGGCTGTCTTTACAGAACTACACTGCTGTAACGCAGTTTTCTGTGTCACAGTTTACTACAAGAACACTGTGCATATTTTAGACAAGCAGCATGCCAAGTGAAAAAGTGTTGAAGCAGCCTTCCAAAACAGCTTCTTCCTCACTGCGATCATACAGTGGAATGTTGAAAAAAATCGAATGTCACAGACTCTGCATCAAATTGACCATATCTATTAGTTTTTTTGTATCATGTCTTTTCTCCCACAGTTTTTACATTTGATCACGGCTGCACTTTAAGAATTTACAGAATTTCGTTTTATATACAAAATGACAATAAATGTTGTCTAAGACTAAGTCTAAATCTAGTAAAGGTTTTAACTGGTGAAAGCATTTTATATTGTCTTGTTATACTAAGCTTCTCAAATGAATGCTCTCCTTGCCTGTAAGGAGGAACTCAGTGTTTTGGTAGTTCTACATTTGGGTCCATCCTCTCTCTGTGTTCGGATGGACTGAACAGAGCCTCCTGGAGATTTTCAAAGTTTGCCATATCTTTTAGAACCTAAGCCTGCTTTAAAGTCTCCACACTTTTTTCCCCTGACACCTCTGCTTTGTCTATTGGCCTTTCAGATGCTTTTTATTTCCTACTAAACTATCATAAGTTTGAAATAAACACATATGGTCTCTGTCTGTCTTCTAAAGGCATTTGGTTACACTAGTTTAATTCGAGGGTTTTAGGCATAAACTGTTGACTTTTGCATTATAGTCAATATGGTTTGCATTTAATTAAAGTGCACACTATATTGATATATGGGGCGAGGGGTAGATTTAGTTCCACTTGATAGCTACATTTGGTCTAGCTCTCAAAATGCCAATAATATGCATGAAAGGTTGTGGTTGGAAAGAATGAAATGGGAAAAAGAGGCTTTTGTGGATCCGTCTCTATACTGCTTCAGTCATCTGTTACAGGGAGGTGGTTGGAAGTGTATTGGGCAGTGCCATCACTCTGGAGCGAGCACAGCTGCAGGCAGGCTGTTTGTCAGCCGACAGGTCCATTAGCTCGGGCTGGCGAATGGGCAGATGGAGGCTCTGTGGGGTAATGAACATAAAAACCCCAAAAGAAAACTCATTCTTCTCCAAAGAAGAGGCTTAGATACTGGAGGATGGAGGATGATCGTCCACTAGCATTTAAAGGTACAGAAGATGATCTTTTATTTCCAGGTGGATCATCTAAATAAGTAGTCCTCCTAATTGTCAATCATTCTGGTGATAATTCGCACTTTCAGGCATATATTAGTGGTGAGCTATGGTTTCAGTCAATGAAGCTCACCTTTCTCACAGCGGTCCTTTGAAAATGGCCATAGGAGTAAAAGTGTCTACGAAGTGTATGAGAAGAAAAGAAAGGCCTCACAAGAGGCAGATATATACCGAAATTCTTTGCGGGTAGAGCTTTCCTAAAAAAATATTACGGTATTTGCTGTCACAGTGGCCCACTGTCACCACCCGACAGCGGCGACTAATAGGCACCATACAGTGGAGGAGGAGTTATGTGATCAACGGAGCAAAAAGCAATGATCATTTGTCCAAACGGTCAGTTAACTGAGTTAGCTATAAAGTCCACTATATAGTCCCCGCAGTATATAGTGATTGAGGGATTTAGGGGTTAGGGCGGAGGTTCGGGCACATTAAGCTAGTATGAGCTATGACAACAGCAACTTTTAAACAGATCATGCATAACAAGAAATGGGCTGGTGCAAGCTCTCGCCTGCATATTTTTTTTTTTAAGTGAAGAGGGCGGGTCTTTTAAAAATTTCGCCAAAAGCCTCCACCATACCTTTAAAGCTACAGTGTGTAATTTTCAGCGACATCTAACGTCCAGACTGCAGACCGCAGCAACATGAACATCTCCCCCCCACCGCTTCTCCCCCCCAACAGTACGGCAAGCGTTACGGGACAAAATGTCTTCCACGACGTCCGCATCACCTACCTTCTCAAGTGATGAGGTTTGTTTACATAGATAATTTTACAGATAGTATTTCCTTAGTCTGTGTGTTCAGTACCGTCTCAGTTCATCTCTCTCAACTTGCCGTAGTTACTTTCGAGCGTAATGGGCGATCTCGCAATCGCTAGTTTGTTGGCTCTGCGCTGCCGTAACGCAAAGATGTCTGCCTCCATGGCTGCGAGACCCGCTCCTATGTAATTATAAATAACGAATTCTAAGGCAACGCAAATATTAAGGTTAAGAGGCTGAGCTCGTAGATGTTGATAAATAACATAGTTATGTATAATATATTACATTTCTGACTGTATATCCCTGTAATTATTACACACTGTAGCTTTAAGTCAAACAGTGATTGTTTGAGGAGGTTTTTTTTTTTCATCACTGGTGGATCTATTCAGTGTTTTTTAGGTTTTATAAGTCTCTACGGTATATCTATTAGAAAAAGGAAATAAAGTAATGCTGGTAGTGTTAACAGTAATTAATATACAGTATGTATAGCATGAGATAGCCATGGGATTTGGGATATTTACCTAAAAATTCTCTTTGCTCTCTTACCAGCTTCAGCTAACCAATATTATTTTATTACTTTTTCAAAACAACTTTTTAGGAAAATACTGTTTTATATTAACCTTAAAGAAATCTTTGCACAGAGTTTGGTTCAATATATGCTAATTAAGGAGGAGTTAAAGTCTCTTAACTTTCCAGAGAGGAAAGTGGTTAGAATTAGACTCCCTTATATGAGGCGCAAAAAGTCTGCGTTTGATTGGTTGATCAGCCCAGATGAAGCTGGCTCAGATCAAAGGTCTCAGAAAGCTTTTGTCTAACAGTCAAAACCACGATTGTTCGTCTATTTGAACGGTGATAATCTTTTTTTTTTTTTTTTCATAGTATTTGATTTTCAGATATTCAAACTGAAACTTACACCTCCTGAAGCGAGTTTGGAAATCATCAGTTTCGCCGTCATGTTTCACACTTATGCTCACAGGGTTGAAAGCTTCTGCTTTTTTCCTTCAGAGGCAACATTGGTCATTAAGGCCAAACACTCTAAATGCAGCTTTATTAGACTAGAGAACAAGTATCCAGGCTTTAAGGTGTTTGTTCCTGAAAACATCTGCAAACTGTAAGCAGGCTTGTTATGTTGCTTCAGGACTTAAGGCTTCTTCCTCTCTGGGTGGCCTTTCAGTCAATCTTCTTACAGAACTCAGTTGACTGTGGATCATAACACTCTGCTACCAGAAGGCCTTTTGGTTTAGTTCTGGCGTGGAGCCAAAGCACATTCATCTCTGGAACACAGAACCAGTCCCCTTCCTGAACTGTATAATGACATAACACTCCTTTGGCGTTCATACTGACGTAAAATGGTTTGAACAGATACAAACAACCCCATGAGGCATATGGAACTTGTACTCAAGCAAAAACCAAACTTGTTGAGGTCTTATTGATTTAAGTGAGTACTTTTGATTTTATCATGATGTTATATAATAAAGCAGTAGCTTCAGATGTTACCTTAAAAAAGAACCACACTGCAGCTTACATTTACGCAAATACTGAGAATTACCCAGCTTACACATCTATGAAGTGATGATCTGGGTTTCATCACTGCTGGAAGACGGTGACTATAGTACTGAATGTTTGTCTTTTTATGCAGTGTATATAAACGTTTACTTCAACTGCATATCGAGTAAATGTACAGTCATAAAAACAGAGCTGGTATTTTGGTCTTCATTTCTTTATGCGATGTGCTGCGGTGGAATAGTGCCTTATATCAAACACAACAGAAATGATTCTATTATCTTGGCTGTGAACCATTCCAGCATATAGCATCTGGAGCCCTTTTCAAGGCCCCAGAGGAGCTTTTCATTGGCTGTAATAGATAGCTACTATCATGGTTTGAGCCCTGAGGCCATTGAGGCAGTTTACCTCATGGCTTCTGTTGATTCGACTCATCCATCATCAACATTAGCCGACCTTGTTGGTGACGCTTGTGAAGCCATTTGGCTTTAACATAGCTGTCGCTTGGTGTCCCCCAAGAAAAAAAAGGGTGATTCAGTTTCTGAAAAAGTTATTTTCTCCTCAAAAGGGAAGAGTTTCCTGCTGTTTCTGTGCAGGAGAAGCTTCTAGATGAATTCCAGGGAAACAGCAGGTGGGAGATTAACTGATAAGGCATTGGGTGATGAAGCAGGAAAGCCCACCCACCCGCTTTCCCAGCGGTTGCTGGGAATGCCATAGAGGCGTCAGACAGCGTCTTCACTGCTAACTGTGCAAATAGTTCTGTGAAAAGGCTCTCCTCCCTACACCTCCTCCATCCTGTTTTAATGAAGTTAAAACAGGATGCCCACTGCCTCTCCTTCTCACATTAACAAAGGATTTACAGAGAAACAGAAATAAGTGGCTCACATTGATACAGGACAATAAAATGTTACTGTTTTTGGCATGTCGGACTAACATTTGAAACTAGATAATAAATGCAATAAATAAGAATACACACAAGTTTAACTCATCCTGGCCACTGAGGGGCGCACTTGCATTCTGCTGCTCTCTTTCTGTCCCGTTCCCCAGCCATTTGCCTGGTCCGTTATGGCTAAAGACCACCAACTCAAACATCCAAAGCGGCAACCTCAAGACCTGTCAAGAAATTATAAAATAATTATGTACTATTGTTTTCCCAATGTCTGCTTTTGAGTTTAACCTTTTTAATAAGTAAGTAATAATAAATTATAATATCAAGGCTATTTTAATAGGCCAAAAAATATTTCATTAGGCTTTATTTGTAAGAAACAGTTAATTAACTTTTCAAAATAACTTTATCTTTAACCCTATAATGCCAAATGTATCATATTTGATCCACATGGTTTCTGAAATATTTTGCGTCTGACACCTTTTGCATAATTTAATGGTAAAAACTTTGCTCAAAATCCTATTGTACACAATCAGATATACCTGATAACAGAGGGCAGAAGACTACACAAAAAATTATCTTGACTTATCACATAGTAATAAATTATTAATATCAAAAATGTATTTCTGTTTTTTCTTTTTACATATTTTGTTAAAAGGCCAAATAAGGACTTCAAACCAAAAAAAAGTAATTTTCTGTTTTGTTTTATTGTTGGATCAGGCTTTAAAGGGTTAACAAAATAATTTATATAGCTTATGTGAAATTATATTGGTTGGTGTTTCTTCACTCAGTGAACCTGTGCAATGCATATGATGCGATTACATTTATTCGCCCCATCCTCCATGTTGACCACAGTTTGGTGCAGCACCTACTGCTTGAGTGGGCAACAGGTCCTCTCTCGCTGTGGCGGGCCTCAAAGGCACTGACACTCGTGCCTAATTGGATTCAGACAGGATTTAATATGGCTGGGCACGGGAAAGGCCCTTGGTGTTCTTACCAATTTGAGGTATTTGGATCAACTTTGTGTGAACTTTAAACATTGCTGAATCATAAAAAAAAGAAATACAAAAAAAAATATGATTATCTATTCCATTATTCAGACATTTAGCAAACAGAGACAGTTTGACACAAAATGGAATTATAGATAAGTTAATTCTTCCCTTGATTTGAGCAGGTAAGATAATTTTCCAAAGGAATATTTAATATTTACATTTAAAATAGGAACAAACATCTCCATTATCTTATTTGAAGTATATTATATGAGATTTTTTTACTTTAAGGGCAAAAATATTCGTTCTGGCAGATCATCTTATTACAGACCCTTATTCTATATAAACAAATACTTTTTAGATTAGTTTTTACAGTGTAAATATTAGATTAGATTAGATTAGATGAGCTTTATTGATCTCACAGCGGAGAAATTCACTGGTCACATATTGGCATAGTAATTAAAGAAGGTGCAATCAAGGAGGAAAAGGTGCATTAGGAATAAAAATAAATGAAAATAAATAAAAAGAATAAAAATAAGAAATAAAAAAAAATACAAGGGAGTAACACAGAGATTTGAGGTGACATATGTACAATCAGGATGGCTTATACACAGGTGGATTGACTTTTACATTAATGTGAAGTAGGTAAGGAATGACGGTGAGGTAGTGGTATAACTATTAAATTCAAATATCCCTGTGGAACCAACACAGGAGAGGTTTAATGTCACTTAAGGTTATGCGTATGTAAATATTTGGTTTCAGCTGTGTCTCTGTTTTGTTTAGATGGAGCAGATCCAGCTGCAGAAAGATCCTCTGAAGCTCAACACTTTGGTGGCCTTGTATGATTTCAGCGCTCAAGAGAGCCATGACCTGGAGATGAGGTTCGCTAGCTCACAAGAACACACACACGCACACACACACACGCATACCATAACAGCCACCAGCTTTCCAGGCCGGCGGGTGAAAGATTGCTGACTGATTGAGTCTGACATGTCCTCAATGATTTTTCTTTGTTGTTCAAAATGTGAAATAAACAAAGAGGCGGAGGCTAACTGTGCACAGCAGTCTCACCCCTCAGGGGGAACTAAGATTCAACTTCAAAATAAAACTTTTGATGAAACTGTGAGAGATCTGCTCCACTTCTTAAATATAAGGGTTTCAGTTCAGTGATTTGAATTTAATAAGCAGCATCACATTCTGCTGATTTATCCTTGATCTGTTCTCATTAGCAGGTCAGATCCTGAAAAATCTGATTTTATTTTCCCCTGTTCATTACATCCATTAGTGCTGAAAACTCCCACCATCTTTTTTCGTCAACAAATTAATTAGCAGCATGTATCTTGATGCACTTTGCCGAGAGATAAAAGATAAGGGCATGAACCGTGTTTAGAGCAGCAATTATCTTACAGTCTCCTATCTTAATGGATGCATCAAGCATTTTCTCTGTTGTGTCTGAGCTGAGTGTCAAAGTCCCTTAAATTCAAACATCAGTATGAATCAAAATGGACAAGTTAGTTTTTAAAGGGTCTATATCATGCAAGATCAGATTTAAGGAGCTTTAACTACGTTATAATGTTATTCCTTTACCAAAACCATGCCAAAAATTTTATTCTGCTTGATTACTTTGTTCAGCCTTTCCTACAGAAAAGTTTAATAACATGAAGTGGTGTAATACTGTAATGTCATTAAATGGGCAGCAGAAACATGAGGCATTGTTGAAGCAAAGGCAAGCGTCTTCCTCCTTGATCGGAAAAACAGCACAAACATTTCTTAACAAACGTATACGTATACTTCATAGTACCAAAGACAATGTTTCCTCAATTGCCTAAATTTGACTTCGGAAGTCTTAAAAAAGCATGATATAGGACCTTTAAAGAGGCATTTTGTTATGATACCGCCACCTGTGGTCAAAACACAGAACTGCAGCACTCTTCTGCTCATTTTCTTAGCACGGTTTCAAACTTAATTCATTTTTTTATTTCTCTTTTCACCTCACCTGGAGTTGCCATTGGTAACTGAGTTAAGCTGGATTCCAGTCACTTTTAAGTATCCACAAAATCCATCTTGAATATAGATTAGATTTTTAGATTAGATTACATTCAAATTTATTGTCATTACACAGGTACAGGTACAAGGCAAGGAAATGCAGTTTAGGTCTATAGCTCTTCGTTTGCTAGATTGGACCCATTTTACATGAGCACGCTTGATGTCACATCTGCAGAAACAGTGCGGGAACTTCTGATCAGAAGTACATGATCATGCACTGAACTGCTCATTAAACAAGGTTTTACTTGGAAAGTGTTAAATAAAAAGGCTATTTTAAAGATATGTTTCAGTGAAAACTTACAAAATCTTTCTTTGAAGTAACGTATCCCTACCAGTATGTGTCATCCAGGTAAAACCTCATTAACCTCAACTCCTATGCTCTGTCTTTATGTAGTAAGTAGCTAAGTAAATAAGTATTAATTTATAAAGCACATTTCACAGACAGGATGTTACAGAGTGCTTGACAAAAGAATAACACAATGTCTTTACCCATCCAACGCCTGGGTTCAACAGCTCGGAAAGAGCAGTCACTACCAGTTCTGAAACGGTTGTGGGGAACCACGTAAAGATTTTTATTTAATGATCTTAAAGTACAATTAAAGTTAAAACTAGAATTTTAAAATGAGAATTTGATCTGATAGGAAGCCAATGCAGCAACCAATCTAGCTAGTTTTTTTGGAGACTTTGGTGACAACACATAGAGCTTCTTCACCAAGTAGTTAATGAGCGAGCCCCTCCCTCACCCAAAGAACAGGGACTCCGATGCAGCAGCTGCAGCCCATGTCTGCAGTCAGAGAGTAGAGCAATTCTTCCCTGCTTTTCCGTTGAACATAAGTCAGACATGCACGAAGACTCCAGTGATCCCTCCTGAATTATATTCAGAATGTAATAGAGATGGAACGGTTTATGAAAACCGTCCAAACCGTTCGGTTCGACTGTCTCGGTTCGATTCGCGTGTGTTGCGTTCGGTTCATGCGCTGCTCCTTTTTCTCATAGGTGAAGCGTTTACACTCCAGAGCAGAAGGTGGCGGTACTGCGATCAAAGCTAACCACCAGTAGTAAACAAGAAGAAGAAGAAGTGAAGCAGCGAAGCCGGGTGTAGCAGAAAAAAATCAGTTGTGGAGAATTGTGTGGGTATGGCGAGTGAGAAAGAACATGATCTTGGGTTTCGGCGGATCATTAAAATAATTGCAATTCATTAAATTTTTTTTATTTTTTCATTAATTTCGTTAATTTTTATGGGATTTATTTATGGGATATATATATATATTGTTTGTTTTGTTTATATTACTATTTCATATCACTATAAAGGATGTGTTCCACATATTTATAAATGAAACAAAATAATGTTTCACGATTCAGATCTGTAGTGGCCTCATTAATGACACCTGCATGAGTGAGAGGAAACTGGGTAATCTATTAACATTTAATCAGTCTTTATTTATTTTTAACCTGAATGAGATGGATGATGTCCTGAAATTCCATTAATAGTTCTCATCAGCGTATTACACTGTCAGCGGCTATGATGGACTATGCCGTGTTTAAAAGCTAATACAAATATGATTTATAGCCCTGTAATGGACAGATAATCATCTATTTCAGCCCAGCACTGAACAAGATGCTGCCTTCATTTAAAATGTGAGGAAGAGTCAAATAAGAGATAAATCAGAGGAAAATGAAGCTTTTTTGTTCACAACTACTTTTAAATGATATTCTCTGCTAATGCAAAATGTGTAACATATTTGGATTTTGGGCTATAAGCCAATAGAAATTCATGCATAGCTTTAAGGGAACATAAGTTATTTGCTCAAAACTTCTTATATTTGAAATTCAGACAAGTTTTCTTTGCATATGTTTTCAGCTCCTCTCTACTCTGTCACCAAATGGTCTAATCTGACTGAGCTGCAGCTGTTTTGTGTCTACAGGTGCTGGTCATAAAATTAGAATATCATGAAAAAGTAGATTGATTTCAGTAATTCCATTTAAAAAGTGAAACTTGTATATTATATTCATACATTACATACAAACTCATATATTTCAGATGTTTATTTTGTTTAATTTTGATGATTACAAATGACAACAAATGAAAATCTCAAATTCATCATATCAGAAAATTAGAATATTACTGAAGACCAATAAAAACAAAGGATTTATAGAAATGTTGGCCAACTGAAAAGTATGAAGATGAAAAGTATGAGCATGTACAGCACTCAGTATTTAGTTGGGCCTCCTTTGGCCTGTATTACTGCAGCAATGCGGCGTGGCATGGAGTCGATCCGTCTGTGGCACTGCTCAGGTGTTATGATAGCCCAGGTTGCTCTAATAGTGGCTTTTAGCTCTTCTGAATTGTTGGGTCTGGTGTATTGCATCTTCTTCTTCACAATACCCCATAGATTTTCTATGGGGTTAAGGTCAGGAGAGTTTGCTGGCCAATTAAGAACAGGGATACCATGGTCCTTCAACCAGGTACTGGTAGCTTTGGCACTGTGTGCAGGTGCCAAGTCCTGTTGGAAAATGAAATCTGCATCTCCAAAAAGTTGGTCAGCTGCAGGAAGCATGAAGTGCTCTAAAACTTCCTGGTATGTGGCTGCGTTGACCCTGGACCTCAGAACACACAATGGACCAACACCAGCAGATGACATGGCACCCCAAACCCATCACTGACTGTGGAAACTTTACACTGGACTTCAAGCAACGTGGATGAAGTGCCTCTCTTCTTTTCCTCCAGACTCTGGGACCTTGATTTCCAAAGGAAATGCAAAATTTACTTTCATCAGAGAACATGACTTTGGACCACTCACCAGCAGTCCAGTCCTGTTTCTCTTTAGCCCAGGCAAGACGCTTCTGACGCTGTCTGTGGTTCAAGAGTGGCTTGACACAAGGAATGCGACAGCAGAAACCCATGTCTTTCATACGTCTGTGTGTGGTGGTTCTTGAAGCACTCACTCCAGCTGCAGTCCACTCTTTGTGAATCTCCCCCACATTTTTGAAGGGGTTTTGTTTCACAATCCTCTCCAGGGTGCGGTTATCTCTCTTGCTTGTACACTTTTTTCGACCACATCTTTTCCTTCCCTTCGCCTCTCTATTAATGTGCTTGGACACTGAGCTCTGTGAACAGCCAGCCTCTTTAGCGATGACCTTTTGTGTCTTGCCCTCCTTGTGCAAGGTGTCGATGGTCGTCTTTTGGACAACTGTCAAGTCAGCAGTCTTCCCCATGATTGTGTAGCCTATAGAACTAGACTGAAAGACCATTTAAAGGCTTTTGCAGGTGGTTTGAGTTAATTAGCTGATTAGAGTGTGGCACCAGGGGCCATCAATTTTGAACCTTTTCACAATATTCTAATTTTCTGATATGATGAATTTGAGATTTTCATTTGTTGTCATTTGTAATCATCAAAATTAAACAAAATAAACATCTGAAATATATGAGTTTGTATGTAATGTATGAATATAATATACAAGTTTGTCTTTTTAAATGGAATTACTGAAATCAATCTACTTTTTCATGATATTCTAATTTTATGACCAGCACCTGTAGATGTGCAAAGCTTATAGAAGCATAACTCTGGAGACTTAGAGCAGCGAAGTTAAGTCTGATTCAAAGATGTTTTTCACATTTTAAAGATGTTTATTTGCAAAAAGGAAATTATTAGTGTTTACCTTGTTGACTGTGGTGGCAACAAATTTTTTTTAAAGTTTATACATATATAAAAAGAAACAAAATTTGGGAAGTATTGCATTATCGCATATAAAATATTCAGCAAAAAAGAGATAAAAAGTCACTTTGACATCATTGATCAGCTAAAAAAGTGTGCTTTTCTTGGCAAAGGGGTTGATATCCCACCCAGAGGAAAAAAGGTATCTAGTGAAGTGAGTTAAAACAATTAAAGGAAATTAAGCCATTTGATTGTAGCATGTTGAATGATCGACAAATCTTAAAATTTAAGGGCAGAGTCTGAATCCCAGAAGTATTATAAATGTATTTCATTAATTTCCATTAACACTTCAACATCTACAGTACACATGCCGTAATCAAAGGAAAGGTCACATAGAGGTCAGCAGTATTCAGTATATCCTTGCTGTGTGGTAAAAAGAGTGAAGGTATATACACTTAATCCTCCCCATCTTAAGCCCTGCCATCTTCCAACCCTGTTCCAACACAACTGGATCAAACAAACAGCTCATTATTAGACCTCTAAAGAACTTGGTGACTTGAAATATGTCAAACACTTCAGACAGCTGTGCTGGAACAGGGATGCATAAACATTGCAGGACAGTGGTTCTCCAGAATCAGAGCTGGAGACAACTGCAAAAAAGCAGCAAACTCACCTGAACCCGGCAAAAAACTTGTTGGTTTACTGACTTTATAAACCCTGGAGGTTGACATGGATTTAATACTTGTGATCTCTTCTTTAAAATAAAAAATAACCAATGCTTTACCTTCAAACAATGGGACACAGGAGGGATTTCTAATTCTCAGATTGTTATTTGTCCTTTAAAGTTAACTATTTACAGGTTAAACAGTAAAACTTGGTAGACTTATGAGGATTATTTGATTGTTTCTGTGACTTTCAGATAAAGCTTGTGGAGGACATTGATGGATTACTTCTTGTTTTCCCAAGACTTCTTATAAGGTCTAAATGTTTTCCTCTGTCCAAGGCTTGGCTTGTTGGCTATGATCTACAGGATGCTTTAAAATAGGCTTTTGGGAAGGATGAGTCCTTCAGCCGAAGTATCAATTTGTTTCCGGTTCTCACAAAAATCTCCTGAGGAAACACGAAATAAGATGCACTTGTCCTTCTCTTGTCTTCCTAAAGGCCCTCACAGTTTTTTTCTCTGTAGTCACATAAACTAAAAAAAGCTTAAAACTGAAAAACAAAAAAAGCTTTAAAATACAAACTTAATCCAAAACTAACTCTACGATCAGAGAACATTTTAGGACATCCTCAGTTCTCATGAATCAGTTGTCACTTCTTAGAAAAACGATATCAGTTCTCAGAAATAAAATGGTAGATGGTTTTATAAACTTCAACCGAAAGCAAAATCAACGAATATGGGACATTACATAGGGGAATTATTTACAGCAAATGGGATTAAGATGTTTATAATGTCCCATTTTTTAAGAGTAGCAGGAAAACTCGTCTTCGGGGAGTTACTGGACCGATTAGATGTGAATTAATCATTTATTGTGTCATGCTGCCCTGGTTAATTGTCCTATGACACAGTTTACAGCACATCAGGTAGATTTTTTTGCCTTAGGATCAAAACCATTACAGGGAACATTTATTACCATGGGGACAAGCCTCGCTCTAGGGCCCCCTAGTGGATCCATTTGCTCATTCGCATAAATATATTTTTTCTCATTATATATTGTTTGCTTTTTGTTACAGAGCCGGAGACAGAATATTGCTGGCAGATGATTCCAATGATGACTGGTGGAAGGTAGGTATGAAAAATAATTCAATTTTATACTTAATGATGGGAAACTGAGCAGTAAATCACAGTAATAGCAGAGACAGCATGTTTCTACCAGACTTTGCTGAAACTTATCATACATTTTAACCTACTTTGCTGCATAAATATTAAGTCTTCTGTCTTACTGTAGACTTTAGACAGGAAAAAAAGGTCAATAAGTTTTGATATCTTTGAAGTTTATCCTTCTGAGATCCCGTTCTGCAAATTTATGTCGTCGTATTCATGCATGAAAAATGTTTTGGTTGTTTTTAGGGGGTGATTGAGGACAGGATCGGCTACTTCCCAGCAGCCTTTGCTCACGAGCTGCAGGAGGGAGATCAGGTGTTCAGGTGCAACAGGACGTTTATCGGCTGCAAAGAACAAGGACAGCTCACTCTGAAGGAGGGGCAGGTACTAAAGCTGATTTACCCCCCATCCACCATTATGGTAGTAGGACTAACTGCTATAGTATTCGATCCGGTGTTTTGCTAAATACGAAATATTTGTTAGTTTGCTTTTTTACACTTTTGTGTTTAAAACATATCTCGAGTCAATGTATTTGTTCTTTCTGCAAGCAGAAAATGATTACAACATCTGCAAATAACATTTTTTTCTTTAACAAATAATTAGTCATTGTTATGAAAATCCTGTTACCTGTTTTGTATTATTTCTACAACTTACAGTGCCTGTTTACAAATTATACGAATGTAAGCTAAGTCCTTTTTTAAACATATTGTCTAAATAAAACCAACACTACTGGGATAGTACGTTATAGCCTTCACTTCTTTATTTTCAAACAGAAGAAAAATAAACAATTTTCTATTTCTTTACAAATCCACTGTGAAAATAATGAGCACTTTTTTCCACCCAATGCTTTTTAGAACCAGCTTTTAGACTTTAGACAGATTTTATTTGTCATTTTGTTTACACAAGTGTAATACAAAAAGAAATTTCGCTTGGAAAAACGTTAACAAGGCAGAGACTTGTAAGTCTATAACTTTAGACTTTATAACTAAAAAGTCTTTATAACTAATGATGTTGGTCCTGGATTTTTATTTAAGAGCATAAGAATTATGGCGAGGGGTCACACATGATCTTTTGTTTGTAGTTGCAATGGGACAAGATGTTAAAAGATTTAGACTTATAAATGCAGTTTCTTTTCCTTCATCTTTTTTTTTTTTTTTTTTTTTACAAATTCAAGCTACAGTGTCCACCTGCAATAATATGTAATTATAAATAGCAAATTACAACTGACGCTTTCAGTTCGTAGATGATAACAAATCACATACTTTTGTGTAATATTTTACATTTCTATCAGTTAATCCCTGTAATTATTAAAGACTACTTTTAAGTTGATGTTTGTAAGATATTAAAAAATCAGTGCATTCCTTCTGCTGTAGATCAGTGCATGGAAAAACAAATTATAGCGCAGATGTTTGATAATTGCCGTCTACTCATGCAGCTGCAGAGCTGTGATGCCAGAACTCTCCCAGCCCATCAGGATTTCATCGTCTTAGCTTCAATTTACATTTGCAATCATCTTCATATTTTAAAAATAGATTTTTGTTTATGTCAAGATTTTCTTTGAGTGCAACATGGTCAGTTAAACACAATTATATCCTTATTTAATGGTAGGAAGTCTCACTTAACATTACTAAGATGTGCCAAGGTTTAAAGGAGCAAAGACCTTCAGATGAAGCTGCATACATTACACGTGTCGAATGCAAAGTCACAGCTCAGCTATTAAGAACCTCAGCCTCAAATTATCCAACAGCTCTTTTGTTAAATTATTACCTTCCTCTAACTCCCTTGCATCCACTTGTTTAGAGGAAAGTTCATCTGGAGTCGACATACGATTCCTCTCAGGAGTTTTCATTGAATTTGGATTTTGGGTTCAAAGCAGATCTGAGACCAGCCCTTCTTTTCCCACAATTCCTCTCAGGGCATGTTGTGTCGATGACACTGAGGATGCCTAAAGTAAGCAGGCCCCAGTGGGGATAAAACCAACTAAGCAAGATGGATCTGTGACCTGTTGACTCTCTTTTCCATTCATGCAGACCCGGGGGGAAATAAGCTCAGAGGAAACATGGAGATTCATACGTTATGTTCCATTAAAGGGCCGATGCTAGAAATGCAAAAGTTCAAAAAAGGTGAAAACTTGGAAACAGTCTTTTCTGATTTGAGGAACAGAAAGCATCAAGGAGTAAAAGGATTTCTGTTGGTTAATCTTTATATATGGTATTTCCCTTCAGTTATCCATCCATCCATCCATTATCTTACACGCTTGTCCCAATTGGAGTCGCGAGGGTTGCTGGTGCCTATCTCCAGCAGTCAATGGGCGAGAGGCGGGGTACACCCTGGACAGGTTGCCAGTCCATCGCAGCCCTTCAGTTATAAACGATGACAACTGTAAATTTACTGATTATAGTGTCCACCTTTTTATTAAAAACATAAGTGAAGATGCAGTAAGTAATAACAGTAGGAAGAAAAACTGAGTTAAAATTTTTTTAGGAGTTTGTGAGAAACAGAAAAAGTTCCACTGTACCAGTATGGCAATCAAAAATGTTGCTTATGAGCAATAATATACTTATGTATTTTTCTTTTCACCTTTTTTTTCCCTATTCTATTTTCTTCTATTTTTAGTTGTAAGCCCATTACCTGGGACAACGGAGAGGGAGAAAAAAAAAGCTGAATGTTTGAAAAACTGTAAATCATATCTCAGTCTTATGTTTACATTTGATCACCATGTTTACATTTTATCACTGCTGCACTTTAGGAAATAAAAAAGTCTTGAGAGCTGTACTGAATGACATTTCGTTTTGTATACACCCTGTGTGTACAAAATGACAATAAAGTTTAAGTCTAAGAAAACTAGGTTTTAATGATCCCAGGATGGTTTGATTCCCAACCTGGGATCTTTCAGTTTATATTTTCTCCCTTTGCATTTCTGGGCTCTCCCAGGAACTCTGGCTTTCCCCCTAAAGTCCAGAAACACAACATTTAGGTCACTTGGTTTCTATAAAATGCTATATGAGGAGTGTATGCATGCATGACTGTGAACAATTCCAGCAACTCATAACTGGAACAGAGCTTTCCTGGCAATTTCAGCTCATTCTTTTGTACAAACAAACAAAAAGAATCATCCAACCTTTTGTTTATTTTTATTTTCCTATCTAAAATTCTCCCAATGAAGTTCTGCCTTTATTCTATAGCACCACATGCAGGAAAAACTGCCCCACCATCATGTCCCCACCTCCAGACTGTACTGTTGGAATGCTGTATTTGCAATAAAATAAAAAAATAATTTTTTTTTTAAGATGAATGAAAGCCACCTGTCATTTAGACAGAAAGTATTTATCAGCCTGATCACTCAGTAGCGTACAGACTAAAAATTAACTGTTTCAACCAGATTTCTTACAGTTAATCAAGAAACCGCTCATCTTGCAGACTTCTGATCACCTAATTTGGTGAGGTTTTCCCATATTTTAAAGCTTTGGCAGAAGAGGCATTTTGAAGTCATTAGTTTGTTTAATGTGGCTGCAGAACACTAACCTGACTCTGCCAGATGGATTTGCTCCGCATATCCATCTGGAAACCTTCCATTTAAGTAATTTTGGGAAGGGGCGAAAATACTGGTTAGCTGATTGGCCTATGTTGGTGATTGACGGGCCAAATAAACCAATCAGATCAACGAAGCATATGACGTACTAACAGAGCAACGACGAAGAGGAGCCATTTGATAGATCAAACTCTTGCCGAAACCAGTCTGGAGAAGAGCAAAAACATCTTTTCCTCTGAGAAAAGCCTCCAGGGCAGTGTTTTGCTCTTCTTTCAGTGAAGAAATACTCTGTAATTCCGATAAAACTTGCTCGATAGCCACGCCAACGCTAGTTTCATCGGCTGAAGCCGCCATGTTCTTTAGACTGAACTGTCGCACTTCTTGTTGCGTCACACCTCAACCCGCCTCAAAGCCAACGCTGATCGGACGTTCGTTTGGTGAACGGCTCCAAATTTTCTTTACCGGAGAGTCTCCAGACTGATTAGCGAGGGAAACCTTGACAGCTTGCGAGATCAGGATGGTCTCATGAGGCTAGCAGAACACTTAAACAGTGACAAAAAGTTGCCTGTCAAAAGGGAAAAGCCTCTGCAGGGATCAATTGTGAGACATTTAATTGGTTGCACAATACAGCAGGAGGAAGCGGTGAGGCTATGTTTTTTAATCTCATGGTAGAGGTGGATTCTCTGCTCAGCTTTTTTGGAATGGATTTCATTGAAATGAATAAAAATAACTTTAGATGGTTTAAATATTAACATAAAAAGATATAGTAATGGGTGGAGATATTTTTTAACTTGTCAGTAAAAATGACAGAGTCTGAAAACCTAGTGCAACCTCTGGTCCTGTGTAACCTGACTACTTTACTGTATTCTATTATATCCTTGATTTATTCAAAAAGGCCTGTAACAATCTAAACAAGCTTAAAACAGCTTTTTCTTCAATAGTGCAGACTTGTGCAGCAAGTGTTCACTAATGCCACTAATGCAGTACCTTTTTTCTTAAAAAACAAAACAAAATAATTACTATTTTGATGTCTTTCTGAGGCTATCTGCAGATATTCTTTGGGTCTTTAACAATGTAATTCTCCTCCTGTAAGGGATGCCTGGGTTTGCCTAGTTTATGTTGAATATTTCTTTACCCTCTAATGTTCAGCAGAAACATATTCAAAGAATATATTTATACCAAATGTTTAACTGTTGGCTGCATGGTGGCACAGTTTGTAGCACTTTTGCTTTGCAGCAAGAGGGTTGTGGGTTCAATTCCCGGTCCGTGGTCTTTCTGCATGGAGTTTGCATGCGTGGGTTCTCTTTAAGTACTCTGGTTTCCTCCACAGTTCAAAAACATGACTGTTAGGTTAATTGGCATTTCTAAATTATGGGAGTGTGTCTCTATGTTGCCCTGCAACAGATTGGCAACCTCTCCAGACTGTACCCTACCTCTCACCCGTACACTGCCGGAGATAGGAACGGGCTACACTGACCCTGTCAGAATAAGTCGGAGAAGATGGATTGATGAATGTTTTCACTGTATAATTGTTTTAATTATTATTTTATAATAATCATTTTATAATTGCTTTCTGATGAAAACTCCTTCGAATCAAGGAGGAAAAGGGAAACATGTTAAATTCCAGAAGCTTAAACCAAAAACTTAGAAAAGAAAGTCTAAAAAGGCTTTATACAAAATTTCAAAAGACCAATCACAGAGCCTGTGCACAACAAAAGGCTCCAACAATCCAGTGGAACAAAAGGTGGATATTTGGTTTGCATCTGGCCTGGAATGTGAGCAGGAGGATGGACCTCCATGCTGGTTAAAAACATCAGCACTCCAACTACAGTTTCCTCTGGGGCGAGCCAACAGAATTTACAAAGACTCTTCGATAGGTGTCGAAACGTCATCAAAAAACTGAGCAAAAGTCAATTTGCCTTCCATTTTAAGCCTGTTTGTTTTAGACAAAAAGTACATTTTACCTGATAACAGATCAACACCAAACTGTTGATCTTCACTGTCGTCTCATTGGCTTGGCAGCAATCCCTTGTACTTTTATTGAGGGGAGACATTACTACCGGTAATAAATTTATCAGAAATAAAAAGCAAGAAAAATTCCATCATATTTTACATTTAGGAATAAATTTAAATGTGACATTTAAATTAGATAGTTTTTAATTGATTATATATTTCTTCATAACTGTTACATCGTCTTACAAAGCTCCATGATGTGAACAGGCATTAAAAATAAACAGGAATAAAGCACAGTTTTTCTTGGATGCCTTCAGTTTAAGCTGTGTTACATTTAGTAATTCAGAAAGTGGCTGTAAAAGGTCAATTTGGCAAAGCTTAGAAACCATAAAACCTAATATTACAGACAATAATTGATGATTTTTCTTCTGGTGTAGATCTGTGTGAGCAGCGAGGACGAGCGCGGCGGCTTCATCAGAGTGGCATTTGGAAAGAAGAGAGGCTATGTGCCCTGTGATGTCCTGGAAATCATCTGAAACAAAGACTCAGAGAAAGGATTACAGGAATAAGAGCAAGGCTGGATCAGCCACCTGGATGTAAGGGTATGGGAACAAACTGAGCAAGAGGAGAGGAAACCACGTCATCACAGACCTGTGTTTGTACAAACAGTGACACTTCTGGCACCAAAAAACTCCAACCGGGCAGTCCTGCTCTAGCAGACACTACAATGAGAAGCTGCTTTCTGCTTGTGAGGAGACAGGAGATCACTGTGTTACTGTTTTTGTTTTTTTTACTTTTAATTTATAGAGCCTGTCGTTTTTATTTCCTGTTTTTATTTTTCTGTAGTTTATTTAACTAGATGCTATTGCTGAGTTAAAAGAAAATAGCTTAACATGTAAAAACACTTACTCTTTGTAATTAGTTTTACAGCTTTTACTACAGAAACAGAGTCCCCCTCTTACATATTTAATTTCTCAATGCTTTTATACAATTGAATTTTCCACATAAATGGTGCATTTGTACATTAATTAAGCCTAGTAATTTAGTTTTTTATGGTGAAATCCCCACAGTGAGATAAGGATATGAATATATCTATTTACATTAGGAAAGTAAGAACATTGAAACTTGATTTCTTCTGAAAGTTTAGGTATGTTCTCATTGCATATTTATACTTGCTATTTTGACTAATGACTAAACATCAACAAAACCATATTAGGAAATCAGAAACAATAAAACAGAGCAAGACGAGGATGCATGGAAATAGAGTTACTCCTTTTTCTTTGGGGTAAGATCCTGAGAATTTAAAAACATTAATGTTAATGTAAATCAGTTCATAAAACAGTTTGTTGATCCCAAATGGAAATTAAAAGTTATGGAAACTGTAATTCTTAAATTTTTTCTTATCAATATCAATGGCTGTTGTCATGAAAGATCTCCTGTCACTGTCTGTTTTACAGTGGTTCTAGAGAAGACACTCTGCTGTCATCAAATCATTTGTAAATTAATTGGATAAAGTATGGAAGTAAATCTGTGTCGCTGGGATTTGAATTAAAAATGCTACTAAAATTTAAATGTTGTATGTTTGTACTTACTGTTTCAGTGTTAAAATATATTCAGAACACATTTTTGACCTAAAAAAAAATTCATTGTCATTATTTCTACAAAGTTGAAATTTAATTTGTCATTTTCTCTTTAAGCTAAACATTTACATTACTATTTCATAGTGATTACATTTTCAATACTTATTTTTCAGTTTAATTTTTCAGTGTTAAAAAGAATCTGCATATAAAAAAATTCAACCTTTCAAAATTCAAACTCAATATTTTCAGCCTCCTGAGATTCAACTGGCTCTATTGCAATGTCTTAAATTCAGCGTCAAAAATCAGTGTAAAAAGGGAAGGATTACTTCGGGTCAAAGACATTAGCAATGGATTGTGGTGTCCAACACCCAGCCAATCCCGTTACGTTTTCTTGGTCACGTGACGTGACGTGACGATGCAGTAAGGAAAACCAGCATGACGGAGCCGGTCATGCAAGCTAACTCTAACTTAACTACAGAAAAATGAAAGTAATAAACTCACCGTTGAGTTAGCTTGCATGACCGGCTCCGTCATGCTGGTTTTCCTTCGGTATGAGCGCCACAAGCGTCACATGACTAAGAAACCGTAACGGGATTGGCTGTGTGTTGGACGCCACAATCCATTGCTAATGTCTGTGACCTGAAGTAACCCTTCCCTTTTTACACTGAATTTAGACGCCAAATTTAAGACAGTGAAATAGAGCCAGTTTAATCTCAGGAGGCTGAAAATATTGAGTTTGAATTTTGAAAGGTTGAATATTTTTATATGCAGATTTTTTTAACACTGAAAAATTAAACTGAAAAATAAGTATTGAAAATGTAATCACTTTGAAATAGTAATGTGAATTTTTAGCTTGAAGAGAAAATAAAAAATGAAATTTTAACTTTGTAGAAATAATGACAATGAAATTTTTTTTTAGGTCAAAAATGTGTCCTGAATATATTTTAACACTGAAACAGTAAGTACAAACATACAACATTTAAATTTCAGTAGCATTTTTAATTCAAATCCCTGTCGTTTAACAGAATAAAAATTCTGTTAAATTCCCAAAGATTTTTTTAGGCGTCTGATAGATTAAAAGACAAGTAGAGATTCTGTCATATTTCCAAAAAAACCTCATTGGACTTAATTTTGACTATTTCATATTGAAATAACAAAAAAGCAGAAGAGGACAGACACTGCTGTGTTGTAAAAATTAATGTAAACAATGCACACGAGAAGTGGCATGATTTTCTTTCATGTTTTTCGGGGGGGTGGGGGGGTATTCTCATTCAACAGTGTCAAGAACAGACAAGGTAAAAAAAAAAAAATCCAACAAATAAGACTAAATGACATGTGGCCTTTCTATGAATCATAGCTTGCAATTATAACTGTTTTGCAGGTGAATTTCAAACGTAATTGAAACAGTGAAAATAATTCTGAACTGAATTAAATAAAACAATTTCGGTTGATATAGTGATTTATCTTAAAGCCCTTGAGCATGTTTACTTAAAGCTACAGTGTGTAATTTTCAGCGACATCTAACGTCCAGACTGCAGACTGCAGCAACATGAACGTCTCCCCCCCACCGCTTCTCCCCCCCAACAGTACGGCGAGCGTTACTGGACAAAATGTCTTCCACGACGTCGGAATCACCTACTGTACCTTCTCAAGTGATGAGGTTTGTTTACATAGATAATTTTACAGATAGTATTTCATTAGTCTGTGTAGGGTATAGATTTCATGTAGACTTTAGATAATAAATATACCCGTTATTTTTTCTACATCGTTGTGACGTTTTGGTGAGCTGCTTTGCATGGTGATATAAACAGACGAAGTAATTGTAGTCATTAGTTTAACAGCGAGATTGTGTTCGCTGGAAGAATATATATTCCCCGTTTACAGAGTCCAAGTCTTGTTTGTGGCACGGGGGTTACAAGGCAAGGAAGAGGGAAAGGAAGAGGGCAGAGAGGCCGGGGTGGGCGTGCAGCTAGGGCCAGGCGAGGGAGGGGAGCCAGCGGGGTGACTAGAGCAGAGGAGGAAAGGCTTGAAGATCTCCAAAGGAGCCGGAGAGAAGTAACCGAGGTATATATCCAGAAAATTATTTTACAGAAAATTACTGAATCATTACCTGTGAAACGTCAGGGACGTTGCTGAATAAGTATACTGGAGAGTAACAGCATCATCACGCAGCATGTTATTGTTTTAGACAGGTCTGAGCATCCTGTACTCCAAAAACTGCAGTGATATTAGACAATTGTGTGTGTAGGATTAATTACCTGTCCAAGAGAAAACTGGCAACTTGAGCATCACTTTGAAAACCTCCATCAGTGACTTCCATCGTGTAAATGCCGTGCCGTTGATCCGTGTTTTTTGTCGTTTCTTGTCACGCTTGCGTTTATTCTCGTCGTGTTTCCGCTTCTTAGATGACGGGGGTTCGGTGTCCGCCGCTTTTTGTTGTGATACAGAGTAGGCATGATCCTCCATTCGTCTGATGTTTGGCCAAACAGTGCCAAACAGTTTGCAAAGTCACTCACGCCTGCCGCCTTGTTCACCTTTCTTGTTACTGAGGCGCAGTATACCTGCTTCTTCTTCTTCTTTGGTTTCAGGCAGACTAAACGCTTCTCAGGCATAATACTGCCATCTACTGTTCAGTACCGTCTCAGTTCATCTCTCTCAACTTGCCGTAGTTATTTTCGAGCGTAATGGGCGATCTCGCAATTGCTAGTTTGTTGCCTCTGCGCTGCCCTAGCGCAAAGATGTCTGCCTCCATGGCTGCGAGACCCGCTCCTATGTAATTATAAATAACGAATTCTAAGGCAACGCAAATATTATGGTTAAAAGGCTGAGCTCATAGGTGATGATAAATAACATAGTTATGTATAATATATTAAATTTCTGACTTTATATCCCTGTAATTATTACACACTGTAGCTTTAATCTTTTTCAAAGGTATTACCTAAAGTGCTGCATGTCCCTCGATCGAGTGTTTTGCCATGACAACAGGGAGGTAAAAAAAAAAAGGAAAGGTATCAAATCTCTGGGATAATTTGTGTGGAATGGGCATGTGTCACCAATTACAAAATTTATTCAAGCAACGAAATCACTTTAATAAACTATATGTATATCTTACCCAATGTCAAGAACACAACTGTAACACTGTGTGCAAATGTGCGCCCTGTAAAGAGTGGGGACTTTATGTTGCACTCTGTTCAGACAGATAATCACTACTTTTCACTCCCCAGTGGTTGTTTGGCTTAGTTAGATGATCCTCGCATCTAACTAAGCCAAGTTAGGTACGAATGTTCTCTCTCACCCCGCCCAATAAAAATCCCATGATGCTTTTCCAGGAGAACTCATGCAAAGCATTCTAGAATATATCTGCTTATCTAGTGCCCATCAATGAAGAGTACGGTTCAAGGTGCATTTTTGGGAAACTTTGAGTGCACTACTTCTTCACTAAATACTCGGACGTCCCTACAAAACGGTGTTACCCTTATATAGTGCCATATATTTCGGGGTTAAGGGCGCACATTCAGATGCAGCTGCTGTCTTATATAAGCTAAATTGCAAAATTGTTGGAGACGGCCTATTTAAATGATGGTTTTGCGCGTTTTGTGGTTTGCGGCAAAGTAGTTTGTAGTTTGTGCAAACTAGTGCATTAAGAAATTTTAATCTTACAGTGACACCCCCACCCAATCCCAAAGAAAAAATTATATATATATATATATATATATATATATATATATATATATATATATATATATATATATATATATATATATATATATATATATATATATATATATATATATATATATATATATATATATATATATATAATGCACATATATATATATGCATTAATCCCTGCGATGGACTGGCGACCTGTCCAGGGTGTACCCCGCCTCTCGCCCATTGACTGCTGGAGATAGGCACCAGCACCGCTCGCGACCCCACTTGGGACAAGCGTGTAAAGAAAATGGATGGATGGATGGATGGATATATATATAAACTTTGGCAACCTTTATTCCCTAAGGTGGAATGTGGCTGAATTTCTACTTCACTGCAGTAAAAAAAAAAAAAAAAACAGGTGTTTTGTATTGGCCTCTAGAAAAATGCACATACCAAATGGCTCACAAGAAGTGACTGTGGATAAGATGACTGCGCGCACTTCTGAAAAACGAGATTGGGAGATCCCAGATGCAAAAAAGTGCAATGTTGCAAGGAGTTTTGTGATATCTGGTATTGCGTGGATCCTCCTTGTGGCTGGCTCCAAATCCATTCGGAGTTCCCCCAACAGCTCCAAAATGGCAATGCTGGATAAACGATATGTTTTGATGATCGTGTCCTCGTTCATTCCAAAAATATTCACACGGAGTGAAAAAATGCGTTCTCTGCGTCTCTTTGCTTCAGATGTCTCCTTCTTGCGACAATAACCGCTGCCATGTGTGCGCAATTACGCATACAGACCATTTGCACCTTCTTTTGAAACGTGTTTAATATAGAGTCAGATACCGTTAGCAAAATTGCTTTCAGGTTTAATAAATCACTTTGCGAGTGCTAAATTAATATATTTACACGTTCTCCTCCCACAAGACGCACTTTTGCGTGTAAACGCCCCATATTGCATATTCATTGCAGAAAAAGTAATAAATGGATAAGAGGCGCTATTTAGCACGTTTTAAAGACCAAATCCTTTTAGCACGCTGTTGATAGATCAGTTTGTACATTTTTTAGCGTGCGCAGTGAAATAGCTCACGTTTTTATACACGCAAACCTTTGATAAATCCGGCCCTTAGACTCCTGAGTGTTGTTCAGCATGG